GTAACCACTCTGATCAGTGGCTGAGATGAGGGAAAATGGGTTGCTCCTACCAACCTGAGCACCAGACCTTGAGACCACTTCCAGTCAGCGCACACGCTGATCCCTAAACAATCCGGATTGGGTTTGAAATTTAGCTCTGAGCAGTCAGTGACCTGCTGGTTCAGTCCACTGGTTCTGCCTGTTGTTTGCTCGCTGATTGTGTGTCTAGGAGCATGTTGTGTTCCTTTGTTCAGGCCAGGAGAGGAAGCCTGAAGAGGCTAGAAGGCTATTTCCTAGTACCTGCCAGTGGGCGTGGCGTGTGTTCACCTGTATGTGAGGCTGGAATTGGTGTGTTGAAAACACAAGTTCTACCCCAGCATTGTTACATGGTTTCTCGTAAGAGCCACATAGCCTGGAAGAAAGGTCCCCTGCTATATAAAAGTGTGGCTGAGCACAGGCCCTGGGGAGCTGATGGTATCTAAGTATAAGGTTAAAGGCACCCAGTGACCTAGAATGCAGCTCAGAGATGGTACCTGAAACCAAAAGGGTGCTCATCCCATGTATCTATCCCAGGGGTGGGCAAACTTTTTGGCCCAAGGGCCACATCTGGGTAAGGAAATTGTATGGTGGGCCATGAATGCTCACAAAATTGAGGGTTGGGGTGTGAGAGGGGGTGCAGGCTCCAGCTGGGGGTGAGGGCTCTGTGGTGGGTCCAGAAATGAGGAGCTCAGGCTCCAGGAAGGCGCTCAGAGCTGGGGCAGGGGGTTAGGGTGCAGGGGGGGAGTGAGGGCTCTGGGGTGGGGCTGGGGATGAGGGTGTGGGGTGCAGGGGTTCGGATGGCAGGAGGGGGATCAGGCCTGGGGCAGGGGGTTGGGGCATGGGAGGGGGTCAGGCGGCACTTACCTTAAGCAACTCCCAGAAGCAATGGCATATTCCCCCTCTGGAACGTGGAGGCGTGGCCAGGCAGCTCTGCGTGCTACCCTGTCTGCAGGCACCGCCCCTGCAGCTCCCATTGGCCGTCGTTCCCAGCCCATGGGAGCTGCAGGGGTGGCACTTGGGATGGGGGCAGCATGCGGAGCCCCTTGGCTGCCTCTACGTGTAGGAGCCAGAGGGGGACCTGCTGCTGCTGCTTCCAGGAGCCGCATGGAGCAGGGCAAGCCCCCGACCGGAGTGCCGAAGTGGGGCAAGCCCCGGACCCTGCTCCTCGGCGGGACCTCGAGGGCTGCAGTAAAATGTCTGAAGGGCCAGAGGTGACCCTCAGGCCGTAGTTTGCCCACCCCTGATCTATCCAGTGGTCCACTTGTTCCCTGGACGTTGCTTTTCACTCTATTGGGCATGTGCCCATGGGTGGAGGCTACAGCCATGCTGGCATGTCCCACTAGCAGTGTAGATTTTGTACAACTCTTTGAACACTTTGATTGAAGCCTAAACCATAGGTTTGGGTTTTTTTTTTTTTAATGTCCTTTTTATTATAACTCCTCCTGCTCGATGGCTGGGATGGTGGAAGATACGTAGATGGATCAGTTGAGCAGTCACAGCGCTGCCTTCTACCAGCTTCCAATGGAAATATCTAAGGTGGGCCTGGCTCTGCAGTGTAACTGCAGTGCCTGGCCCATGAGCGAGGGGTGGGCATATCTGCGACAGTGCCTAGGCCACAAACTTCAACCAAAACCAAGTAATTGTGCGTCGGAAAGAGGTTCCACATCTTCCTCTGAGTGCAGGGTGAGCCCCCACAGGGTTATGCTGTTTGAACAATAACCTGAGCACCTCTCCTGCAGCCGCATACAGATTCAGGCTTCTGTTTGTCCTACACGTGGCCATCGGCCTGTAGGGCACAGATGGGGGGGGGGGGAGCACCGTTCCTTCTGGGGGTTTGGAGAGGGGGCTCTGCTGCACCAGGAGAAACTGGGACATAGGACTAGAAGGGACCTCCTGGATCACTGCATGTAGATCCCTATTGCAAGCAACTGTCAGCTTCAAGGGAGAAGCCTGAGCTTTTGGGCACAGAATGTACCCGCTAAAGGGAAAAGCTAACTGCTGAGGGCTGAGTCCTTTAGATGCATGCAAGCCTTTCCCAAGGATTTCTGTTAATTTTTGATACATAAAGGCAACGTAGAAGAGAAACCACCTCTTAAGTCGTGCTAGACTTCTGCCTTTGCCTCAGTGCTCCTGCTTGGCGCTAGGGCCAGCATTTGCAGAATTCCAAGCGTCGAACTCCATGAGCTAAGTAACCAGGTTCAGGAGGTACAGAACTTTGGGGGGAGCAAACCCCGTGGTGAATATCCGGTACCCTGGGTTCTGCTGTTGGGATCTGCATGGCTGCAGTGTTTGTAATGCAGAAGAGCAGGGGTAGGAGCATAGCTGCCCAGCAGTGGAAGGTTATAATCCCACTGAAGATGTGAAATTGGCACAGGCCTATATTTTAGCTGAAGTGAAGAGAAGGGAAACAATGGATTAAGGATCAGGACAGGAGCTGCCCTGGGTGTGAGGGCCCTATTGTTTGGGCCACTTACAAATAGACTGGGCCAGCAGGAGCCCTGGGGTTGAATGCTGGCTCTGCTGCTGACCTGAGGCATGGCATGGCTCCCCTCCTTGCTTTTGGTTGTTTGGGGCAAGAATGATCCCTGGAGGGGTGGTGCCCAGCGCTCTCTAAGGTCATAGAGCAGCTGAGGCGGATGAACTGCTGGGTTCTCAAACTGCTCCCAACATGCCAGCAGCTCCCCTCCAGGCTGAAGGTCTCAGCTCCCACTGGTAACTGCAGGAATCACTTCTGGGGGACAGTGTCTCCGAGGTAATGCTCGCCGGAGGCCGAGGAGTGCGCTTAGCACCAAGTGAGTGATGCTCTCCCTGAGCTGCCCCAGGCCTTTGTCTGAATCTCCATGCTCTGGAGTGTAGCTGCTCCCTGCTGCTGTTTCACTCCCTGGAGAGACAATATCTTCTCTGCTGGCCCAGCTGCGGGGGCGACAGCTGTGTTTGAGTGCACACAGAGCTCTGGGCTGTAAGCTCAAACACTTGTCTGTACCACCAACACAACGCCCCCGACCTCAGCCCCCAGCCCTGCATGCACCAAGGGCCGCTGGTGACGTTTCACACGCCGGCCGAGGGGCCTCACTGGAGCAGCCAGGCACTGGAGCCGTAGTGGGTTTATTAGCAGTTCGGCGCTGGATCAAACCAGGCCTCACAGCCAGGATATAAAAATAATGTCTACAAAGGAGCAGTTCCTGTTTCTTAAAGGCATAGTATAAGTTACATATTCATTTCCCCACCCCCACCCCCCTGCACTGTGATGAGCGGCTGTGAGTGATACTAAGCAGCTGGCATTTTGCCTCTTAATTACAGCAGGAAGCGATCACCGCTCTGGCCCTGCTCTAAACGCCTGGCCGAGCAAGATCTGTGGCAGCTGTGAGCCCTGAGTCAGGGCAAGAGAAGGGGGCTAGCACAGTGGTAAATGCACCTTGCAAGCAGGGGGCTGCATCAGTCCAACAGCGAATGGCTCTGAGGCGTGAGACTCGGGGCTGGAGGGGAGGGGAGGGGCTGGGGAGCTGCAGACACAGGCCTCGCTGGCGCTGGGTGCACAGCCATGCAGCGGGGCAGGTTACACACTGGAGTAGCACTGCGCCTGGAGTTGCTGCAGCTGGCCAGAGCCACGTGCCTGCTCTGCAGCCAGGACGGCACAACTGCATTACTGCAGCCCCCGTGCAGCCAGCTGTGTGCACTTAGGGCTTTGAGAGACGTGCCCAGGCCAACCTTGCAGCCCAGAGCCAGTTGGTCTGATTGTCACTCATGTGCCTGGGAAAGGCTTAGCCATGCAACAGGCTCCAGCCCTGCCCAGGGCATAGCGGGCACTCGGTCTGAGCTGCGGCACCAGCCCAGCCTGGGGGGGGGAGGGGTTGTGTGTGTGTGTGTGTGCGTGCAGATGTTATGGGGAAAGGGTGACACCTTGTGGTGACATGAGGAATAGTGATGCTTTACCCCTGTTGATTGTCGTTTCTGAGCCGCCCTGGTTCCTGGGGATGAGAGAGGGGGCTGCTCCCATGATCCATCCTGAGCCCAGGGCAGAACGGGGCGTTCCCGCCCTCCCTCCTCCGCGCAGCGCAGCATAAAGAGAAAGCCAAGGAAGACATTTAAAAGCCACCCTAAAATACCCTTCCCATGTAAGGTGACCAGCAAGCAAGTGTGACTGTTCGGGACATGGGGGGAATAGAGGTGCATATGTAGGACAAAGCCCCTTGGAGCAGGACGGCTGGTCAACCTATTCCCACCTGCCAGCCAAGAGGGTTTGTGCTCTCTCTGCATCTCAGCCTAGTGCTGCCCTGTAGGACCCCCTGCAGCCAGAGCCTGGGCGCTCTGTCCTCACTACAACACCGAACAGGGCAGGGGGCAAGGAGCAAGGCAGTGTCAAGGCCTATTGGAGGCTGGGGTCAGGGTCAGCCCTACAGCAGCAGGAGAAGGCCAGGCAGGCCAGGGGAGGGGAGGTCACAGTACAAGATGCAGCCCATGGCCTGTAACCCGACGTGAAATTGGCAAGCAGGAAGGCAGGGCTAGAACAGACCGTGGGCAGAACCCCCTCAGTGGCTGTGCTCCAGCCCAGCATGTGGTGTTGCTGGAGGGAGAAGAGGGATGGGAATCGCTACTGGGGCCCTAACCCCCCGTCTGGTCTCCCCTGTGGAGCTCAAGCAGCTGCCACATGCGCAACATTCCCCCTCCCCCCACAGCCAATGACTTGGCCGCTGCCTGGCCAGTGGGGGGAGCCCTGTGCCAGACATGCCAGGTGCATGGCTGACTTGGGGGGGGGAGGGTTTGCATGGCACCAGCTGGCACTCTGAGCAGTTAAGCGGCGAGCAGGGATTCTCCCATTGGTGTGAGAGTCCTTGGTTCAGGCCAGTGGCCATGGTGGCCCAGCCCCTGTGGGTCACATCCACCTCTTCTCCCCTGGCGGGGCAGAGCGGCACTGCTGGCTGGCCTCCTCCAGGCGGGGTGGTCACAGCGAGATGTCAGAGGTCACCTGGAGGGTCTGGCCAGTGGGTCGTTTCTTGGCGCTGCACCGGCCGGTGTCGCCGCGCCTGTATGGCTGGTTCCGCAGACCTGTGCCCAGAGAAAACGGAGCCTGGTTGGAGCTGGCCAGCAAGGGGGAACCACGCAGCCCTTTGCACCTGCCCTGAGGGGATGAGAGCAACTCCCCTCACTGGTGCCTTTCACCCCCAGCAGATGCTGGGGCCACGGCCCACCCTGCCATGCAGCCGCTGTGGGGTGGGGTGGGGTGGGGTGGGGTGGGAGGGGCTTTCCCATCCAGCCGGCATGGAAGGAAGCAGAACGCCAGGAGCTGGGGACACGGCTTCATATTGCAACGCTTGCCCAGCAGGAGTGGGCCAGCGCCTCGCTGGGCCTCCCCGTTCTGTGTTGGCGCCAAGGGATGCACGCTGCCTCCTGCACCAATTGGTGAGGCACCCGCAGTTTGTCTAGGCCTCTGCCATCCCCACACGGACCAGGCCCAACCCTACTGAGCGTGAGTGCAAACCAGATCACTACCCAAAGCAGTGTGGGCAGGGAAGTGACGGACAGACGTATGTGAGCCTCCGGCCTAGCGCCACCCTGACTCGCGTGCTGCGCAGGGGACAGGGGCAGCCGAAAAGCGTCCTCCCGCCTGAAGCGCACCCAGCTCAGAGGGAACAGGCTGAATTCCCAGCAGGTGCGTGCCAGGAATCTGCTCCCCCAGCCCAGCTCCTCCAACGCAGGCCGTAACCCAGGCCCAGGCACCCCTCTGGACCTCAGCTCCCCAGGCAGGGGTTACCTAGAGCTACAGGGGGCTCTCCTCATTGAAGCTGGCCTCGCAAAAGAGCCGGGACGAGCGCTTGCCTGTCCGGGCTGTGAAAGGAACTGTCTTCAGAGCTGAGCAGAGCGATCCGCCGAGAGGCAGCAGAAGAGGGGGGAGAGAGAGAGAGCAGGAGAGAGCAGCAGAAGGAGGTGAGGCCAAGGATGTATGAGAGACAGACCAAGGTGCCCGGGGAGAGCTCAGCCCTGCCCAGTGGCCAGGAGCTCTGCCTCTAGAGCATCGCTGCGTCGAGCCCCCCACGGGGTGGATGACTTGAGCCTGCCCCCTCAGTTCAGCCCAAGCCCAGGGGCTGGCTCCACTGCTGGCACAGTCCAGGGAGATTTGGGGGGCTGGAGATCCAGGGGCGTTACGGAAAGGCAGCAGGGAGCCCCCAGGCAGAGACGCACAGTCCCGGCCCCGGCAGCTCTTGGCACACACTCATGCACTACCAGCTACCAGTGCATAGCACCAGCCCGCTGCACCAATCCCCAGAGAGGGTGCAGCTCGCCCCAAGCACGGCAGTGCCAGAGCTGGGAGTCCTGACAGCTGCTCCCTGCTCCCGCTACGGAGCCCACTAGTACATCCAAAGTGTCTGCCCCTCCCTGAGCCCCAGGGGACGGGGACAGCTGCCAGCCAGGCCAGGGGACAGCAGGGGATGGTGCCTTGGGAAGTGAGGCCGGAGCATGGCCCTGTGATTGGCAGCAGGCTGCAGCAATGGTGTGTACCACATGGCGAGGTGTGGGAACGGGAGCGAGGGGGTTAGTGGTCATGTGACATACAGAGCCCAAAGAAAACTCATCACAGAGCAGGTACCCACCTGGCCAGGACCCCGCTCTGCACCAGCTGCCCTGGATTTGGCCAGTGGCTAAGGTATGGGGCGTTAGTTCCCATGGGCGTCAGTCTGTGGGTTCACCTCCCACACCTGGGAGACCCCGCTGGTCTCTGGGTCTGTGCCCTCTTACCTGAAATAATGTCCTCAATGGCGCCATCTCCTCCCTCGTAAATGAGGGGCTCCTTCACCATCTGCTTCTTCTTCAGCTCAGCGATCATGTCCATCTGCTGGCGCTTGGCCTTGGGGGCAGGAGACTGTGGTAGCAAACGTGGAAAGAGAAGTTAGTGCCCTCAGCCACCTGGCCCCTCACAGACAGTGTCTCCTTCTTCGATAGGAGGAGACCCCAAAGCACTTTACAAACCAGATACAAGAATCACTTCACCCGCTACAGAACTGCAGCCACCTCTGGGGTGGAGCACGGCAGCTGTGTACCGGCACATGGCAATGCTACACTCTGGGTTATGAGAGGAAGTGAAGAAGAATCCAATGGCCAGGGGAGGTTTTAGGGAGGCAGAACGTGGGAGCTGGCAAGGGGCTGACACCCCACCTCTTGGGAAAGGCACCCCAGGCTCCTGAACAAGCACATGGGACAGGTGCTTGGTGTCATGGCTGTGGGATGAAGCAGAGCCCAGCTCTGGGGGTTACAACTTGGCTCGTACCTTTGGCTCTGGCTTGCTGGGGGAATTGGACTCCACTTCTTTGGCAGCTGCTGCTTCTTTCCTCCAGAGCTCGATGTCCTGCTCCACTTTCTTGGGAGGAGAAGAGTGTGGGCACTGGTTACACGGGCTGGGGCTCTCCACCCCACCGCCCCGGCAGCAGACCCACCCCGCCTCCTGCCTGCGAGGGAGCGCAGCAGATGAGCTTGCAAAGCCGGGCTGGAATTGGCCCTGCAGGCAGGGCCTGGGGCCAGTCTTTGGGCAGAGCCTGCTCGAGCCCCACAGGGTTACAGCGGCTCTGTGCCTGTCCCTCATGGATCCCAGATCCAGTCTGCCCAGCCAACGCGCCCGGCATCAGTGGGGCCCACGGGGTCCTTGCTGGCGTAGGCCAGTCCCAGCCAAAGCAGATTCCCAGGGGTGCTGCCATCCTCTTGCCATGGCCCGACCAGAGCGTCACCCCACGGGCTGCAGGGCAGCGTGGCCTCTCCCCCCGGCTCCTGGGGCCCCTTTACCTTATAGGCCTTGACGAAGCGCACAAATATAGGGAAGAACATGGTGGGGGGGCTGGTCTTGGGGTTCTCCCCGAAGTACTCCACAGCTGACTCATAGGCCTCCTGCCGGCAGGGGGGGACCCGTTAGTGCAGCCACCCCCAGGTAGATTCCCGGGCCGGGGTGCTGGAGGCCCCACTCCCATCTCCCTGCTCCCAGGCTGGCATCAGCTGGCGGGGCCCGAGGAGCTCTGCTGTCTAGGGAGCGCCCTGCTGCACTACGCCGGAACGGCAGCACGTTCGCTGCGCGGCGGCTCCAATGCCTGCTTCCCAACCCCGCCCCCCTCAGCGTCCCCCCGACCCCCCTGCCCAACGGCGCTCCCATTGGAAGCCTGCTCCAGAGGCAGAGCCCTCCCCCTGCACCGCCAGCAGGCCCCGGCCTTCCAGGCCAAGAGCGCCCCCAGTTCAGCCCCCACACCAGAGCATCAGCCCCCCCGCCCATCCCCCTTGGCAGGCTCGGTCCAGCCCCCTCGGTCTGGGGCGACCCACATACCTGGGCGGTCTTGCTGTCAGTCTGCAGCTTCTCCATCACCTCGGTGTTGGCCTTGAGGAAGTCCTTGAGCACCTGGCTGTCGTCCTGCCGCATGAACTCCTTGCGGGTGAGCTCCATGCCCCGCTGCAGGGCCCTCATGTCCTGCAACACGCTGTCCAGGGACACTGTGTGGGCAGAGAACGGAGCGTCAGGGCTGCAGGGCCGGGGCTGCCCTGAGCTCCCAGGCCTTCCTTTAGGGCCTGGCTCCTCCGACAGGCTTCATGCAGCCCTGCCTGGATCAGGGACTGCGCCCCCCAGCTCCACCTCCCCAGGGCTCGGGCCTGGCCCGCCTGCGGGCACCCTGAGCCCAGCCCTGCCCACTACCTGAGCCCGCCTTGTCCAGGAAGTGCAGCTCGGTGTGGAAGCCCGTCAGCTCCGGGTACTTCTCCATGATCACCCGCCCGATGTAGTGCAGCAGCGTCTGCTTCCGGTCCGTTGACTTCATCTCCAGCAGCTGGGGGACGGCAGAGTCAGGCTGGGGCCATGCCCAGGTGTCCACCCCCAGAACCTGCACCCAGCCGCCAGCCCCCTGCCGCCCCCACATGCCCGTACCCAGCTGCCACCATCTGCCCCCTAGTGTCCCCTCATGCCCATACTCAGCCACCGCCCCCCGCCTGATACCCAGCCGCCCCCCTCCGCCTCCTGCCTCATACCCAGTCACCACCCTCCGCCCCTTACCCCATACCCAGCCACAACCCTCCGCACCCCCGCCTCATACCCAGCCGCCCCCTTCCACCCCCTGCCCCATACCCAGCCGCCCCCCTCCGCCCCATACCCAGCCGCCATCCTTCGCCCCCTGCCACCCACCAACACCCATATCCAGCCACCACCCCCCAGTGCCCATACCCAGCCAGCACCGCTCGTCCCCTACCAACCTCCTGCTCCCTTCAGTTCCCAGCTGCCACTGTCCACCTCCTGCTAGTGCCCCCAGTGCCCACACCTAGCCAGCAGCACCCCTCCCTGGCATGCTCTCCCCTCACTGTTCATGCTCTGGCAGCGAAAGCAGACTTTGCAGACCCTCTGATCTAGTGCTGGATTTCCTCACCGGGGGCAGACCTGGCTGATAGATGCCAGCTCCCCACTCCCCCAGCATGAGACTCACAGAGCGAGACCTGCAGCTTGACCCCCGCCCCCCTTGTCCGGTCACAGCAGGTGCTGCCTGGGAACTCTCAGGACTCCTATCCGGGCCGAGGGGTGCCCTTCTCCTCACCAACCTACCGCATCGAGGCTCTGCAGCCGGAAGCCGTAGGCTGCTCCGCGCTTGCTGCTGTTCATGTAGTTCCCGAAGGCCAGGACGATCTGCAGAGAGATGGCTGCTAACAATCACCAGGCAGGGGCAGTGCCAGGCAGCCCTGCCAGGCTGGGGCTCCCATGGGCAGCCAGGGCACAGGGCGCCCATCCCGGTTAGCCAGCCAGTGGGGGCACCCCCCTGGAATGGGGAAGTGGCCTGGGCACGGGGCAGGAAGGCACTGAGACTCATCCCAGATACCCAGCCTGGCAGCTCAGGACACCAGCCAATCGGCTGCAGGATGCCTGGGGGAGTCTTCTCCCAAATAAGACACTGCACCCAGCCCAGCCCAGCCCCTCCCCCCGGCCTAGCCTGGACCCTTCCCCCAGTCTAGCCTCCCCCCCCACCCCGCAGCCAAGACATGAGCCCAGCCTGCGCCCTCCCCCGCAGTCAAACCTGGACCATGCCCCCCAGCCCAGCCTAGCCCGGACCCTCCCCCACAGCCAAGCCTGGGCCCTCCTCCTCCAGCCTAGCCTCCCCCCTCCCCCCAGCCCATGCCCCTAAAGAGCAGCCCCCCTGCCCCGCAGGAGAGAGAATCCAATGGTGCCCCTGGGACCCAAGCCCAGCCCAGGCACTGGAGCCCCCCTCCCCCGCTGGGGCTGCTCCGGTCGGCCCCCCAGCCCCTCACCTCCAGGATGTTGCGGAGCTTGGTCGAGGACTTGAGGGACATGGAGGCGGCGATGATGGCGTTGAGTTGCTGCCGACAGAGGGAGAGGCAGGTGAGAGGGGCCAGCAAGGCACAGCCTGGGTCCAAAGCGCCCGCAGAGACTGCTTCCTGCTCAGCACAAACCACCCCTCCCCTGTCAGCACAAGGCCCCCACGCTGGCCCCACCCCACGCAAGAGTCTCCCCAGGCATCCCCACCAGGGAGCCCGCAACAGTACCCAGAGCTGGGCTCCCACCCCAGCCAAGCCCTGCCCCAAACAAGGAACCCCACCCACCCTGAACGCACCGCGACACCGGTCCCAGTGCTTCCAGACAGCCAACACCACTCATCCCAAGGCCCTGGCCCTTGGTCCTCACCTGCAGCCCCTGCCACCCCAGCCCTGGGCTCCTCCGGCTTGGCCACCCCGGCCCTGGGGTCTCCCACCCCATGGCTCAGTTGAGGCAGCACTGTCCGGGCGGGCTGCCCTCCTCGCTACTCCAGCCCTGGAGGCGAGCTGCCCATGCAGATGTCCCCCAGTGCACGTGGCGGCTCTGATAGCTAATGAACTAGCTTGAGATGTACCAAGGCAGTTCCCTGGGTCTTCCGACCCGATTGGGCAGATTGGAAGCCAGATTGCTGAAGAGTAAATGCCCGTGATCCCCCAAGCCCACCCCTCCCGCTACCGTGCCTTTCTTTGGAGGCCTGCGGTGCTTCTCAGCGTCCCCAAACCCCTGCTCGCTGATCTCATGGAGTCCTGGAGGAGGCCCAGGCGGGAGCGTTCTGACCTCACTACCCCTGGCCCCCGGCAGAGCCCCCACCCAGGTCACTGCGGGTGCAGGCCAGGCGGCCGCCTGCTCTGGCCCATACCGGCATCAGGAGCTGGGCGGTGTCGCTGAAGTTGCCCAGGAAGGTCATGATGTTCATGCGCTCGGCGAGGCGAGGGATTTGGCTGAATTTGATCATGAAGATGTCCTCGTCCGACAGCTCCTCCAGTGGCCGCTGCTCCTTCTCGTACTTGCGGATCAGCGTTAGCTCATATTCGGTGGGCAGGAAGCGCTGCAGCAGCTCCAGGAAATCCAGGCTCAGGCTCTGCAAGTCGTACCTGGGGGAGGGAGGCAAACAGGCCAGTGCAGCATCGCATACACAGCTACAGCATCGCTAGCAGGGAACAGCCTTCGCCGCTCATCTCCTCGCCCTGCCTGCCCCGTTGGGCCTGCGGCTCTGGATCAACTCTGCCACTCCTGCCAGCTGGTCTTCCCCACGCCCGGCTCGCCCTGAGCTCCCGTCCCCCCATGCCCTGTCACCTGGCCCTTCTGTGCCTCAGTCCAGTGAGCCCTCAGCCCTCTCCGCCCTGCCAGCTCTTCCCTTTTTCCCATTGACCAGAGTGGCTGATTCTCTCCAGGCTTCAGTGTCCTTGATGTCTCTGCTCCTCTCCCATCACATGGTCTGCCTTGTCAATCCTCAACCCTGGTTCACCCCCCCAATCCACCTGGACTCCCCTGCCTCTCCAGCGACCATCTCCTCTGCCTTCCTCTCCAAGCGCCTGGACCGCAGTGTCTGCAAAGGCTGCCTGCAGTTCTCCAATCCCATCACAGGGAATTCACCAGCACAGTTACGAGTGCTACAATTACCCAGTAAGTTTCCCCATGTAGACAAGCCCTTAGACCCGCTCCAGGCCATCTCTCGCCCCTTGGACGCCATCAAATCAGCTCTCACCAAAGTCTAATGGCCTCTTCCCAGCCAAAAGCCAGGGCTCCACTCTATCCTCTTCCTCCTCAACCTCTCGACACCGGCGACAGCTCCCTGCTTCCAATCCCATCCTCCCTCCGCTCTCATCCCATCCAGATTCTCCCATCCCTCTCCAGCTGTCCCTGCAGCGCCCCGTTCGCTGGGCCCCCCTATCCTCTCTGTAGGCATCCCCTGCTCCTTGCCCCTGACCCCTGCTCCTCTCACTAGGCCCTCACCTCCAAGCCAGCCTTAGCCAGTGATGCCCAGACCTGCCTAGCCAGGCCCCCCTTCCCGCAGCCCTACACCTCAGCTCAGCCTCCCAACGTCAGCTCCTGGACGCCCAGCCAGCAACTTCAGCTCAGCTGAGCTTTGGGTCCCTCCCCCCACCCCAGACCATCACCTGGGCGTCTCCTCCCACAGGCCCTGGCTCTAGACCCTGAAGCCAGGCTGTGTCCAAGCCATGGGCTCCTCACTAGCTCCCCCGTCTCCTGCCTCCGGCCAGCCCCAGGGTACTCACGTCTGGATGGCTTTGCAGATGCTGTCGATGCTGAGGCCGCCCTTGCGGAGCGTGATGGCCAGGTTCTTGGCTCGGTTGGACTCGATCAGCGTCACCTTGCTAGGGGCCTTCTGAACAGCCTTCACCTTCAGGGTGCTGATGTCTAAGCTAGGGCCCTGAGCCTTTGTCTTGAACTGCTCCTCAAAGTCGTTCATGTCCAGTTCCTGCGGGGAGGGGAGCGGAGAGGCAGAATGCAGCAGGACGGAGATGGAGAGAGGGAGGGGGAGCACCAGCATGATGGAGGGAGGGGTGCCGGGGAGAGGGGGGAGCCGGTTCCTCTAGGGCTGGGCCGGCTTCCTACTGGTGAGTCCATGAAACTGTCCCAGCACTAGAGAGCCCCTCTCCAGGGTGCTGAAGAGCCTCCTCCAGCCACCTTTCCCAGCCCGCTGGCAGGCACGAGGCTCTTCCCTCTGCTGTCCCATCTCACCTCTCTGGGCTGGGAGAGGAGGCTGGGCTTTGCCCGGGCTGGGCGCACCAGTCTCACGGCCCCAGGCTGCCAGTCCAGCCTGCAGGCCGTTCGGGCAGTCTCCACGCAGCTCAGGGCCTGCTCCGCCCCTCAGCCCATCCGCCCGGGGCCAGGCAGCCTCACCTGCAGGACCTTCTCATCGTTGAGCTCGTTGAAGATGGTCCCGTTGATCTGGGTGGGTTTCAGAGCCACCCAGTTGAAGATGGGCATTCTGAACTTGGTTTGAATCGGCTTCTTGATCTTGACGGCTAGCGGGGAGAGGGAGGGAGAGGAGTGGGCTGGAGAGCGTGCCGTGAGCGCCCACAGAACCAACCTGCGGCGCCAGGACAACCGGGACCTCACAGCTCCTCCAACCCCATCACAAAGCTTGTGGAAGGGTTTTCACACCTCCATGAGAGCACGGCCCAGCTGGCCAGGTGCATTGTGGGCAATCTCCTTTCCCTGGAGAACGGCTTTGCCGCCAGAGGCAAGGCAGCAGATGGACCGATGTTCCGGTCCAGTTGGCAAAAGGCCAGGGACCAGGCTAAGCGGCAAGGGGGTTTCACTGCTAGGTCAGGGGCCCCAGATCATTTTCAGCTGAAGGCTGTTTGGGGATGGCTGTGAAGTGATGGGTGAGATCAGTCTCCACATCACACCCAAACCCATCCCCCCGGCTGGCCCAGCGGAGGCTGAGGACTGTCAGGACCAGGGGACTAACCGTCCCTTTTGTGGTGCAAATGATGTTGGCCAAGCTACGCCTGCTCTGTGGATAACCAGGGGACCCGTCTCCCCAGGGCACCCCCGGCCCCTCTGCCCAGCGCTGTGCTTTGGCTCTCACCCTGCACATGCCATCGCGTCCCAGAAACCGGACTCACCTGAACTGGCTGCTGCTGTTGGGCCACTGACCTCCCCAGCTGGCATTCCCAGGGGTGGGGGCGGAGGGGGAGGAGGGGCCGGGCCACCCTCCACCGAGAGGGGAGGAGGTGGTGGGATTTCGACCCCGGGAAGGGGCGGGGCAGGTGGAGGGGTGTCGCTCCCAGGAAGGGGTGGAGCTGGAGGGGGTGCAGAAGGTTGGGCTTGCTGCTGAGAAGGCAGGTTGGCAGAGCCGGTGTCTTCGGTGTGGGGCAGTGGGGGAGGCGGAGGAATCGTCTGGGCAGCAGCAGGGGGCGGCAGTGGGGAGCAAATGGAAGGAGATGCCAAATCTGCAAAGTAAGTAAGAGAAATATCACCCATCCACCCTGCCAGCAATGGAGTGACTAGGCTCAGCAAGAGGCAGAGGCGTCTGTCCCCAGCCACTGACCTGCTGGGTGACCTTTGGCAAGTCACTGCCCCCACTCTGTGTCTCAGTTTCCCCATTTGTACCATTGGTGTATCGTGCTGACCCTCCTCTGTAAAGTGCTTTCAGAGCCTCAGCTGGGAGGTGCAGACAGAGTCCTTTGGAACATATCTGAACATATCTGTGCAGCACCTGGCACGGGGCCCCGATCCCAGGAAGCGGCCCATGTGCACCATGGGAAGAACACAGGCAGCCGGTGGGCAGCAGGGCCAGCACCAGCATGAGGCTCTTGCTGTGGGGATCCAGCCCTTTGCCTGCGAAGAGCCACCCTGGGGGTTCTGGGGTTTGCAGCCCCAGCCGGGACAGGCCAGAGGGGAGGAGCATAGGGGTGGGACATGGTAACCCAGTGTTCAGAGCCTCACTCCCAATGCAGGAGTCCCAGCCTGGGACCCCCTGACCCCATCCTATTAACCCCTGCAGCCCCCCAGCTATGCTGCCCACTGAAGGTACCTGTGCTGGTAGAGGCGGAGGCTTCTACAGTAACCGTGGGGACTGCTGTGGTTTCCATGACAACAGGGACAATCTCGATGGCAACGGCTCCCTCTGGCCCACGCAGGATCCGGACTAACCCTTTCTCCTCCAGCTCCTCCAGCTTCTGCTCCAAGGCCGAGGGACGGGCATCCGCCAGCCTCTGCTGCTGCTGCTGTTGTGGGGGGGAGCTGGCTTGGCTGCTGGATTCGCTGAGCCGCTCCTGGGCAGACACACACAGCACAGCGGGCATCAGTGCCATCCCCCCTCCCCGGCAGAGGGACCCGATCCCTGGGCCTCGTGCAGGAGCCAGCAGGGACAGGCCTGCCTGAGAGATCCAGAGAGGGGCGGGGGGATCATCCATGAACAGAGAGAGGCACCACCTTGCCCCCCCCACCCCCATCTCCGGCACTGGCAGCTCGGTGCTGGGAGCCCACCTACAGCAGGAGGCCCCCAGTCCTAGCACCGCCGCGCCGGGAGAGGAGCCGCTCGGGGAGGCTGGCAGCAGCATTGCGAGATCTCAGTGCGGGAGCATCTCCCCACTGGAACGCCCACCATGCTCCAGAAGCAGCCCCTCCCCATCTCCCTGCCCCCATACCTCCCCCACCCCGCCCGACACCTCTCTCACTGTACCTTCCCACTTGGCCTCACCCCGCCCCCAGCCTTGGTGCCCCCCTCCCTTCCCCGCTGGTCTCACCCGGAGTGTCTCTACTTCACGGCGCGTCTGGCTCAGCTGTTTCTCCAGCTCCGCGATCTTGGCCATTGACTCGTTCTCCGCATCCTGGAGCTTCTCTGTCAGCTGCAAGAGGAGCCAGCGTTCAGCCAGTCCCCCACGAGCGGGGCTGTGGGGTGGGCCAGGGCACAGGCTCCCAGCATGTGGCGTGAGGAGGGGAGTTGCAGATGACACAGCCCCGATGCCAGGAGCAGGCGTGTGCAACAGACCACCTCCCCTCTACCATGGTGGGAGCCCCCTGCCCAAGAGAAAAGTCCCCCTCCAGCTGGCAGGGGCTGGGAGAACTCCTTCCCCGGGGCAGCAAGCCCAGGCCGTGTCAGCGCGCACAGTGCCAGGGTCAAAGCTCCTGGGCTGACAGAGCTACAGGCAGCATGGAGGCCTCGTTCCCTAGCACCTCCCATTGGCCAAACACTGGAACAGCAGGGACCAAAGCAACCAGCCCGCCTGTTCCAGAGCTGGGTGGCGCTAGGGGCATGGAAGAGCAGCCCTGGAATCCCTCCCCGCTCTCAGGTCACAGAGACACGCTGAGCACATGGCAGCGTTTTCCTGCCCATACGCAGATCAGCTCCTGCAGACGCCCTTAGCAGGAACGGCTCCTCGCTCCCTGCCTGCCCTGGCTGGTGCCCCAGGGCCCTCACCTGCCCCACTTGCTCCTGTAGGTCCTCCATGTGCTCCAGCACAGCATTCTTGGTCTCTGTGTCCTCCAGCAGGGCGCCCACATCGAAGATGTTATCCAGGTATGCCTGGATCTGCACCTGCAGCTTGTCACTCTCCGTGTAACGCAGCCTCTGTCACAAGACAGCAAGGGTCCCCGTTCAAAGCCAGGCCCAGCCCAGCCCTTAACCCTACCGGGGAGTTCCATGCGTTCTGAGTCGATCGTTCTCAGCTGAATGTGCATCCGCCCACACCTCCTCTTCCTCCGGAAACACCCCGCTCCTCCTCTGGGGAAGAGGGAGCCAGAGGACCCCAGTCCTCGCCCAGCCCTTCTCCGTCCCAGCATTTCCAGGCTGCTTGGCCGATAGCCCAGGCTGGGATGGCACACGTGGTGCGTGCGGACAAGGCCCATTAAAGGAGATGGCTGTAGACAGAGGAGGTCCCTCATTGAGAGGACAGTGGCTAACACCTCCAGTGATGGGGGCATACAGACCAGCCCTCTCTCCCCTCCCTCAGAACTCAGTGGTCAGAGCAGCCTCACCTCCAGATACTCATCCAGCCCCAGGTGAGTGAACTCGTATTGCAGGAAGACGCGGAAGTTCATGTTCTCCACCGAGTGCACCACGATGTTGATAAACTGCATGCAGGCCACCTGCCGGGGAGCCCCAGGGTTAGCACCAGAGCCCCTCCTTCGCCCAGGGCAAGCGGCGGGCGGGGGCAGCGAGATACAAGCAGAGACACTATAACCATCAGTGACAGCGCCAGAAGCAGCCGCCTGGCCGCCCAATCTTGTGACCTTGCCGCTAGAGGGTCTCATGCCCAGCGTGAACACGCATGAGACGGCGTTTCCCATTGCTAGCACACTAACGCGGCCGCAGAGTGCTCTATGGAACCAGCAGACGGGGCCCAAGGTCAAGCAAGTCAGCAGCAGAGAAGAGAACCCCGGTGTCCTGCCACCCACTCCAGAACACTGTCTCCCTTAATCAGAGCTGAAGAAATCACTGATTGGTTTTGTTGGGTGGCTAAACCCAAAATAAATAAATAAGTAAATAGCTCATTTTGTTTCAAACCAAAGTGGGGTTTTTTTTTTCTCAGTGAAACAAAAACCACCACAACAATGTCACTAGCGCTGAATGCAACATTCGGAATGCCGACCTGAAACAAATACATCAACCTGGTTTGTTTAGACAGTTGCTAAATCTTTCTTGCTTTCAGGCTTTTTTGTGCCTGAAACTATTCACCGTGTTTGGCCCGAATTCAGTGCCCCGAAAAAGGAATTTTATGGTGAATTCACTATTTGGCAAAAAAGTGTCACCCAGCTGTACCCGGAACACAGCCACGCTTAGTGGGAGGAGAGGAGGCAAGCCCAGAGCCAGCACAGCTGCTGGACACAGGGAAAATCAAGCCTCGAAGACCCAGTCAGTGGGGCTCATGGCATTTGGAACGGTCCCCTGCTAGCTCTTCCAGACTTGAAGGGGCTTAGAGTGCAATATATAACTACTGCCCTCTAGTGGTTTGATGCCCATGCACACTAAAAGCCCTATTACTACTGACACCAAATGGGATTCACCCGTAGTTCAGGTGGCAGAGGCCTGGGAGTGAGATTACAGGTTCTTTCCTCAGCGCCACACACGTGTGGTTTAACAGAGGGCCGATGGCCATGTGTGGAGCCCTGGATCCACCCCAGGGGCAGTGGGACATGGCCACCTACGGTGACAGGCGGAAGGAAGGGGCGCTGCAAACAGCTCTTTCCTGCACTAAGCAGATGGAAAAACCAGCCAAGTCTTCACATCACACGAGCCCCAAACACTCAGGCAGCAGCACGTTATGGATGGTTTGGGGGATGGGGCAGGTGAGGGGGCTGCCTGGCCCCCCCGCCCCAAATGCTCACCATGAAGTCAATGTTACTGTCCTCATTTCGGAAATACTCCATCAGCTTCTCAAAGCGATTCTTCTCTCCGCAGACCTGTGGGCAGGAGCAGAGACCACTCAGCATGGGCGGGTTCTGTGCCATGGGCTGCTCCCTGCCCTGCAGAGAAGCCACCCAGACGGTGCCATCCTGCTGCCCTAGAGAGCAGAACGGTGTCTGCCCTGCTGCCAGGCACAGTCCAAAAGGGGAGTGGGAGCGTTGCCGTGCCTGGAACGAGTGTACATGAGAGGGGTGCATGTGCATGATTGAGTGTGCCAGAGCAGACACCCCGCTCCACTGGCCTCGCCCCAGTGTAGCCCCACCCCTCACCACAGCCGGTTTCAGCTCAGAGCGCAGCACACACAGCTCTGAGCTCTCGGCAGCCCGGCTTCTGTTCCAGGGCTTGCAGGACTGAGATTTTCGTGCACTCCTAGAAATGAAGCCAAAGGCAGCTGGGGGAAAAGGGGGGTAGCTTCCCCAAGGGATCTCCAGCTCCTCCCCCCTGCTACATTACTCCAGGAGGGCAAAGCCTCCCCAAGGTAAGGGACCATGCAGTGCCCAGCACATGGGGCCCTGTCTGTGACCAGGCTGCCAGACGCTGCAGTACAAATCCTCCATGACAACTCGGCCCAGGATGGAACTCCAATAACTGGCATCCATCTGCCACTAGTGCCAGGCCCAGCTGACCAGACGGCTCAATAAAGCCGATGTGCTGCTGCCCCGCGGCAGCGACCCAGAGGGGAGAGGGAGACGTGCACGTGGACATGGCCAGGGGACACCAACAGGCAGCCACACGGCGATTCCTGGGATTCCCGCTGCAGAGGGATGGAAACATTCAGTCCATTTCAGCTACTCCTGGGAAGGGTCAGGCCAATGCAGTGCAGTGGGCAGCCACGAGCCTGGTGGAGGCTGGGCCAGGCCCTGGGGAGACCCAGGATGGGGACATGAGGCGGGGTGGGCTGGGAGCTAGGGCCAGAGAGAACCTCAGGGTGCGTCTGAGTCCAGCAGCCTCCTTGGTTCACCACGGTCCTGCCCAGGCCCCTTCCCCACCAGGAGAGACGCTGCAGCTCAGAACAGGGCCCCGTGAAGGTTGGGGCCTTTGGGTCCGGGTCCAGCTCCAGCGCTAGGTCCTTCGCCTAACGCCAGGGCCTGAGGACGTGGGCAGGGTCTGGCCCTCAGAGACATGGCCTTGTCCTGGGCAGGACTTCTCTGGTTAGCGATGCCTGCACCATCCTACCCTTGTGCAGTGCAATGGCAGTGCCCGGGCCACAGGACACCACAGGATCCGGGCCCAGGCAGTCCAGCCCTGGCCAGAGCCAACTGATGAGGGGAGGGAATTGGAGGGTTGTGAACAATGACCTTCCTCCAGCTGCTCCCTGGCTCTCATTTCTCTACTGTTCCCTGCAGGGATGGGACCTTCTGCAGAAAAGGACCTAGGGGTCACAGTGGACGAGAAGCTGGATATGAGTCAACAGTGTGCTCTTGTTGCCAAGAAGGCTAATGGCATTTTGGGCTGTATAAGTAGGGGCATTGCCAGCAGATCGAGGGACGTGATCGTTCCCCTTTATTCGACATTGGTGAGGCCTCATCTGGAGTACTGTGTCCAGTTTTGGGCCCCACACTACAAGAAGGATGTGGAAAAATTGGAAAGAGTCCAGTGGAGGGCAACAAAAATGATTAGGGGTCTGGAGCACATGACTTATGAGGAGAGGCTGAGGGAACTGGGATTGTTTAGTCTCCAGAAGAGAAGAATGAGGGGGGATTTGATAGCAGCCTTCAACTACCTGAAGGGGGGTTCCAAAGAGGATGGAGCTCGTCAGTTCTCAGTGGTGGCAGATGACAGAACAAGGAGCAATGGTCTCAAGTTGCAGTGGGGGAGGTCTAGGTTGGATATTAGGAAACACTATTTCACTAGGAGGGTGGTGAAGCACTGGAATGCGTTACCTAGGGAGGTGGTGGAGTCTCCTTCCTTGGAGGTTTTTAAGGCCCGGCTTGACAAAGCCCTGGCTGGGATGATTTAGTTGGGAATTGGTCCTGCTTTGAGCAGGGGGTTGGACTAGATGACCTCCTGAGGTCCCTTCCAACCCTGATATTCTATGATTCTATGACCCTGCCATGGGGCTGTGAGCCCCCCATGGCCCATCCTGCAGTGCCAGCAGGGGCTCGGAGAACTCAATCAATACATTAATTAATTAATACCAATTCCCCTCAGATGGCACCTTCCAGCCGAAGCTCACTCTATAGGTACTGGAGCCTCACGCCCCCTTTGAGGTGAGTTAGTTTTATTATTCCCATTATACAGATGGAGAAACTGAGGCATGGAGCTGGGAATGGTCTTGCCCTCGGTCACCCAGCATGCTAGCAGCAGAGCCAGGAATAGAACCCAGGCGTCCTGGCTCCAAGCGCAGCCATGGCTGGGATGCAGTGATAGGAGAGAGCACAGGTAGCTGTTGAAAGGGACACGCTAGCGAACTGAAACCCAAGTCACTGAGCCAACGGAGCCCCCCGTGGCACAGCCCCCACTACTGCAGACCGTGCTCCGGCTCGCTGGCCTGTCTCCAGTGTGAGGGATCAGGTCCGCTCCCCTCCATTCATCGCTCAGATGTCAGCCTGGGTTCCCGTCTCCCACTCACCTCCCGCTGGCCTCAGCCCAGCTCCCTGCTGTTGCGCCCGGGAATTCGATCCAGCCTGCAGCCCGTGTCACCCAATCGGCCCCTTTGTTGGAGCCCCTTGTAGGGTTACAGCAGAGCGACAGCTGGGGCATTGCCAGGCACCGCCAGCCCTGCCTGAGCATCGTCTCGCTGACGCTCCCAGCCCGGAACAGCCGCCACTCGCCCCAGCAGCCGCAGCGCAGGGCCCTCGGCACACTGGTTCTGTCTCACCGGGGAGAAGGGAGAGCAGCAAAGGGCAACAGCGGGACACGGCCCCGGGGGCTGCCAGGCAGGACAGGGGGGGCACTGGCAGCACTATGCAGGGGGCAGAACTACGCTGGGGTCAGCGCTAGGCTGGGGGTCAGCGCTAGGCTGGGAGCCCAGCTAGAAGCAGCCTGGGGCTGCCGGGCAGGACAGGGGGGCACTGGCAGAGCTCATACAGTGTACCCAGGACTCTGGCACAGCCCCTGCCCGTCGCTCTCCACCATTAGCAGCACCACACTCAGGAGCCCTTCCCTCAGTGCGCAGAGCTCTCTGGGCAGGGAGATGAGGAGGGAGCTTTCCCACGTGCTTGGCCTTCCCCCCGAGAGGCGAATCTCCACAGCTGCATGAAGTGCCCCCGTCCCATCCCCTGCTGCATTAGAACCTCCCTGAGTCAGCCCAGTGGGAGGCGCCAGCGGCACCCGGGCACTAGCCACGCCTGCGAGAACTTCCCGGCAGGCAGCGCAGAACCAGCCCTGAGAGCCTGGCAGAGGAGCTGGGCAGGGGGCGCGGGCGGGCCGTTGTGCCGTTTCAAAGGGACGACATCCCCTTCCTTCAGAGCTGCGACGCCACGGGGCGGGGGATTTTACAAACCCCAACAGCAAGAGGGACGGTTTCAGGAGCCCAGACTAGGCAGGCTGTTCCCCCAGGGACGGCAGGCGGGGCGGCTAAATGTGAGTGGGAGGGAAGGATTGTGGGCTGGCTCCAAGGTCATTTGGGGGAGATTTTCAGAAATGTTTAAGGGAGTTAGGAACCTGACTCCAATTGATAGCCAATGGGACTGTGCTCCTAACTCCCCTAGGAACTTCTAAAAGACTTCCCCCTTCCTGGCTGTATGGGGGCAGGGCAAGACTAGCCATGGGCGGAGATACCATGCTGGTGTAACCCACACACCTCCTGGGGGTGGGGCTCTGTCCCATCTAATGGCACCGAGCCCACGTAGAGAGAGATGAAGGAGTCTGCTCGACAGCCTTAGCGAAGAGCCAGTTGGCTTTTAGCTCATGCTGTAGTGCCTCGTGCACTGAGGTCCCTGGTTCAATCCTGCCCGCTGATGACCAGGGTCTGTCGGCATTACACTGTATCACCAGCTTTCCAGGCAAGGGCCTATGGTCAGAACCAGGGACGGGGAGTAGGAGACCTGAGGTCTATTCCTGGCTCTGCCACTGACTCACCGTGGAGCCTTGGGTGAGTCCTTTCCCTGCTATGTGCCTCAGTTTCCCCATGTGTAGCAGGATGGGTAACCATGGCCACCCTCCATAGGGTTTACAAGAGTCAGTACATCAGTGTCTGGAAAACACCTTGAGATCGTTGGCAGAAGGGGCTAGAGAAGGGCGGCAGATTGTTCCTTGCTACCACTAAGGGCCAGTGCAGCGAGGAAGAGACGGGAAGCCTTCAGTACGGCGTCCATCCGACACCCCCGCAGGCCAGCTGGCAGCCCTGGGCAGGGAGCCATGGAGGGCAGAGGTCGCGTTCTGACCCCATTCCAAACGCCCGCACCTGCAGATAAGCCACAGCCGGTGCTGGGGGCTCCCAGGAAGCAGCAATGACAGGAGGGTTGGTTCTTGCCCTAGCACTGGCAGCAGAGACATGCCCTGCCTCTGCCCATCCTGGTTACAGCATGAGGTCCTTGCCCCCAGAGACACGCCAGCTCTGCCAGCCAGGGCATGCTGCGGAGGGGAGGGGAGCGTGAGCCAAAGCACACAGAGCTGGTGAGGGGCTGGCTGGTGTGCGGATGCCCGCCAGGCATGGGGGAGGGAGGACAGGCTCCAGGGAGCGGGGCTGTGAAGGAATGTGGGATTGCAGAGGAGAGAGGGTCCCGCCGCTCCAGCACTGCATCGGCGCCAAGGAGAGCCCCTCATGGACCCAGCCCACAAGGGGTGAGGCAGGGGCTCCTCAGAGAGAGACGTGCTCCATGATGCTCCCAGAGACCCCTCCTGGACCTACCCCCATGCTCTGCTCAGCTCTGGCCCAGGGAGGGCCGGCCACGTGCAGCACCCTACGCCTAGGGCACAACGTGGGCGGGGGGAGGGGGAGATGTAGCTCGGCCCCGCCCACAGCAGCGACCAGTTTACATATCCGACTGGCCAGAGCCCCAGAGACGGGCCGTGGGACGCAGCCCTGCGCAGGAGGCAGGGGCGGGAGGTGACTGAGCAGGGCTTCCCCAGCTCCTGACGCACAGACACAACAAGGCGGCACCGAGGGGACAGAACCAGGCTGCTCAGTCATGGAGCGTCAGTTCCACTGGCTGCCACCTGCAGCCACGTTCTGAGTACCTGGCGCGTCTCCTCTCCTCGGCCCCGACCCAGCACAGCCCCAGCACGCAGCTGGGTCTCAGGGGAGGAAACTGAGGCCCAGGGAAGGGCAGGGATTGAGCCGAGCTGCACTGAGAGTTGCTGTCAGAACTGGGACTAGGAGGCAGGAGTTCCTGGCTCCCACCCCTATTGCCCCCATCCTCCACAGCAGGGGCTCTGAGATCCCCCAGGCCAGCTGGCTCCTGGGCCCCACCGGCTCTGACCTGGTCGCTGGGGGACCCACCTCTTTGAAGTTGTCGAAGGCGGCGAGGATGATGTCGTGCCCGCCTCGGACCAGGCACACGGCAGCTAGCAGCTCCAGGACGAGGGCTTTGGTCCTACAGGGAGAACACAGGGTCTGACTCCCTCCGGGGGCTGCCCCTTCTCTGTGGCACCAGCCCCAAGCTGCTGGTCTTCACTCACGAGCCCCTCCACGGCCTATGCCCCCTCCCTATGGGCTCCCGTTCACGCCGAGAGCCGTCAGCCCCCTGCCAGCCTCCATCGCCCATGTGTTAACCTCTCAACCGACATGTCCCGTGCTGCCCTGCGGGGAGCTCCCCGAAACATCAGCAAAGCCGCGATTCCACAGCCAGGCCAAGGCTGACCAGTCCTGCCTCGCTGCTTCCTTGTGCTCCCCCATCTGTCAACTCTCTGGGGCAGGGCTTGGCTTTTTGTTCTGTGTTTGTACAGCGCCTGGCGCAGCAGGGACCCCAAGGAAGAGGGGCGGGGAGCATACCTTGGGTTCTTGTTGTTCAGGCTCAAGGTGATCTCGTTGACACAGGCTGGATGGTTCATCACCAGGCTGAATCCAGACTAGGGGGAGAGGCCGGTGTTAGCAGGTTTGGGGCGGATGCCACGCCTCGCCCTTCCCCCACATGCCCTCTGAAATGCTTGTGTGTCTTTAAGGCAGAGACCACCTGGGCAGGACCAGGGGGGCAAGGATCGCAGGCCCATCCCACCCAAGGTGCTGGCAAGCCCCCTGCCAGCTGCTCTGCCACCCCGCCAGTCCCCACAGGACCTGACACACCAAGCGGAGCCAGGCCAGTTACAAGGACCCCAGTGAGGAGCAGCTGATGCCATGGAGAGAGAGGAGAGAGACCACAGCACTCAGGGGTCTCCATCGTGGACCAGGCCCCCAGGCTCAGAGCCACAGGGACATCAGGAGGGGCTGCAGGGATGACACAACCGGAGGGGAGGGGAGAAGAGGAGGAAGGGGGATGCTGGAGAAAGGGAGGCAGGGGAGAGCAGGAATGTGGCTGTTCAGTCACGTTCACGTTTCAGGCCCCCACGCGGTGGGACTGACCCTCTGGTCAGCACAGCCTGCCCTGGACTCACCGCCCTGGGGTGCTGGGTGGAACCTGCACTCACCCCCACCCCTCAGACTGGGCTGGAGATGACTCAAACAGCTCACTGCCCAAGGGCCAGGCCAGATGTCCCCAGCACCACCACTCGCTCCGGGACCCGACGCCAAAGTGTCCCGAAGACCTGGAGCGGAAGGACCCCCGCTGCCGAAGACCCCAGGCCCCCTGAATCTGCTGGATGGCCCTGCCTGCAGGGCCGCGCTCGGGCCATCGCCTTGCCCCCACCTGGTAGTTCATGATGGCGCGCAGGCACATGATGCAGAGGTGGACGTCGTCCTTCTGGCTGATGATGCGCGAGTTCCGCAGTGCCTTCCTGCTGTGCACCGGGTTGAGTCTGGGCCAAAGGAAGAGAGCGGGTGACGCCCAGGAAAGACTCGGCAGGCGGCACAGCTACAGAAAGCACCGGCTGGGGGCCTGGCTGGCTCAGACTGGGAACGGGGTCCCCTCTGATCCGTCCACAGTCTGCAGCCCCAGACACCCAGACATGGGCTGTCTTGGCAGACAGGCCAACGACTGAGTGGGCTGGGCTCTGCCTTGGGGCTGGCCGGGGAGAGCAAAGGGCATTGGCCCGGCCCAGTCTGCACCCTAGTGCGTTGGTGATCTCGGATGGCTGCGGGAGGCTCACCGGGGCGCATAGGAGTTCATAGGTGGCCTGGGTTTACTCTCCTGATCGCTCCAAGGGGCGCTGGAGGGAACGCTTGGGTGGACTTGTTGAAAGAATGTGTGGATCTGCTGGTTCAAGTGGCAGCACCTGAAGGAGGATTACAGCCTGCAGGACAGGAGGGAGAAACAGTACTTGATGGGGATGCGCCCTCCTTGGAGGCACATGGCGGAATGGAACGGCAGGGGCCTGGCGGCCTCTCCGGGGCACAGGCAGACGGCCAGGAGGCCTGAGTGCCCAGCACGCAGCAGCAGAGCAAGGCCAGGCCGTGAACTCAGCACCACTCTCTTTTTACAGGCCGCTAGAGGGCCCAGGGCCTGGATCTTCCTTTACTTTACCACCAGGCCCTGCCCATCACACCTCCAATCTTTGCATGCAGGGAACTTCCTTTGCCTTTCCATGGTCACATTTCAAAATATCCAGTCCCTAAAGAGGGTCCCTGCCTTGTCACTGCACCAACGGCTGCTCCCTCGCATCTCAACCCCTCAGAGCGGAGGGCACATGCTGACAGCCCCGCAGCCTGCAAGGGCACAGTCTCCAGGGGCACATGTACGGGCTTTAAGCCAGTAATTCTGGGTTGGGTTCCTGAGCTGTCACTGCAGGTAGCAGCCGGGGGAGCCGGGAACTCAGTAAGTCCCTATTGATTCTTAAGGGGTATTTCTGCTCTGGAAATCAGCTGGCAAAGTGCCCGGGGTGCCATGGCTATCGGCTCTCTGGTTTCCATGCCCAGCGTGCTGTGGTTAGGTGATTTCCTAGCTGCCAGCCTTGCAAACACGCCCGGGGGGGGGCGGGGGGAGGCCAGGCTCTTTCCTCCTTGCACATCACCACGAGCGGCCACGGCTCTGCAGGCCAAAATAGGCCCTCGGCACCACTTGTGCGGGCCTAGCGCTACCCAAAGGGGCAATTCTACGCATGCACAAAAGGCTCTTCCCCCTGGCTAGACAGGTCCCGCAGTGCTCCTGGGGTCAGACTCTGGCTCTCCCCTGCCACCCATGGCTGGGCTGGCCCCACAGGGCCAGTGGGGTCAGACTCCGGCTTGCTCCCCGCATGGCTCGGCTGGCCTCACAGGACCAGTGGGGTCAGACTCCGGCTCCCACCCCCACCCCCGGGACAGGGCTGGCCCCACGGGGATAACAGGAGCAACAGTAGGGCTGACTGCACACACAGGGAGCGTGAAGCAGCACCATAGGACGACCTTACACACGACTAGAAACGGAACTGGGAAGTGATGCCAGAGCCTGACCCCAAGCACCAGGAACACTGGGGCAGACGTCAGAGCCAAATCTCCACCATCCCTGAGAGCGAGCCCTGGTTACCTACCGTGAGACACGGCCCGAGGGAAGCGTGCAAAAGAAGCCTGTGGTTAGAATGTGGGAGGGGACCGGGCATGCACAGAGCCGCATGAGGTGAGCGGGCTTTGAACTAGAACTGTCTCCCGTCAATCTGGATCAGAACCAGGCCGATTCAGCCTGGGCCTGGGCGGGTCCAGCTCCTCAACGTCCACTTTTAACATTTCACCTTGTTTTCAGATCCACAAGATTTTGACCTATTGTCCTTTTAGGCCTCACAACCCTACCCTGTGATAGCATCCTGATGGGGAAACTGAGGCACAGGAGGGGACATGGTGAGTCAGGAGCAGAGTCGGGGAGGAGGGATGTTTTAGTGGTCAGGGCACTAGGTTCAATTCCCTGCTCTGCTACAGACCTTCTGTGTGGCCTTGGGCAAATCGCTTAGCCTCGCTGTGCCTGAGCTGGGTGAAATGGGGACAATGCACTTCCCGACCACCTGGGGGTGCTGAGGAGAAACACGTTAGAAGAGGCCAATGGTAACAGATAAGTAGTTACGAGAATTTCTCAGGGACAGAACCTGGATTCCTGGCGCTAGGTCCCCTGCGTTAGACAGCTCATGCTTCCTGGGGCAGGGGCTGGGGGTGTAATTCAGGTACAGTTGTTCTCTGGGTCACCAAGCTCCATGTTTATCAGTTTAGGGGGCAGTTATTAGAGACCCCCCCCCGATTATCATTTACACACACTTGGCCTTCTGGCCATCAGATCAGTGCAGTTTCTGGTGGTCCTCTAGTGGCTATAGCCCTGACCCTGCTGTGCAAGCATCACTCAGCCGCAGCCAACACTCAGAACTCGAGGAATGGTGCTGGACAGTTATTTCTGGGTGGTGGTGGTTTTTCTTAAATTTGTTTTTATTTTAATTGTGAAAAATTTCAACCGGCTCCATTATTCCCTGACCCTCGCAAGCCATTAGCCTCAGTAACATCCTGCAGCATGGAGTGCCCCAAGTTAAATATATGGTATGCAAACAAGGAAAGGTGGTGGGGAGAGGGGCAGGGTCCTCAGCCCAGGAACTCCAGGCTGTACTGACTCCAGATGGGCAGCGTGTCAGCGCCCGAGCAAGTGAGACAAAGCTGTGTGTGTCAAGAGTCGTCAGAGGCCACAGTGCAATGGTGCCACGGGCGCTCCCACGAGGGGGCTGATGTTCTGTTGGGTGCAGGGATGGAAATATTCCCCAGTGGGAGCTGGGCGCCTCCCTCCTGGCCCAGGGCAGAATCAGGCCCACGAGCTGCAGCCTGTTTGCTTGGCCAGAAGAACTCACTGGCAATGGCCTCTCCTCCAGTATCTCTGAGCAGGGCAGGAGCTGACGGGCTCCAGCATGGGGTGTCCCAGGCTGGCTGCGTGTGTTACCTGATAGTCAGGTTCCTCGTTTTGGAGGAGCCCTGTGTGGGGGACGAGGAGTTGCTCTTGCTGAGGTCCTCCATGGATCTGTCCGGGGACTTGCCCTTGTCAGAGCCCGGGCTCCCGTTATCTGCGCTCTCCATATTGTACCTGGAGCCACACACGTGAAGACAGACGTGTGAGTCAGCAGAATATAGTGAGGCCTTGTATGAGGCAGCAGGATCCCGGCCAGTGGTGGGGGAAGGGCAGACCCAGCGACAGAGCACAGTGAGAGGAGGTCCCCCAGCATAGGTATCTCGCTGCTCCTCGGCAGAGGCCCCCACCACTCGAGCCCAGGGGCGGGATGAGACTGCCCAGCCCTCACTCCTCTGGGACTGCAGAGACTGGCCCACACCAGCTTGCTCCCCAGCCGGCCTCCAGCCCCCCTCAGCCCCACGCTACCACTCAGCCGGCCAGAGCCACACGTAGCCGCACACGCCTCAGGGCAGGTACTGCTGCCACCACAGCCCTGCATGGCCCCACAAATGTCCCCAGGGACCAACAATGCCACCACGGATGGTTATGCCTAGAAAGTGCAAACAGACCATGCGGGCACAGGGCTCCGAGCTCAGGGAGTTTAACCATCCGTCCCAGGTGGGTTGTTAATGGAACAGCCCCCGGCCCTGGGCGCCAGGGGCCAGCCCTGAGGCAGCAGGTTGAGGGAGTGGAGACGGACGGGCTTTTAGGGAGATCTCTGCAAGCTGCAGAAATTTCAGCACCCAGGACAGGGACAGACAAGGGAATGGGGAGGGGAACCGCGACAAGAGGTGGGGTTTTCATCGATTTTAAGGCCAGATAAAATCATCTATGTCTGTCCTCCCGCCTAGCACAGGGGTGCCAGCACGTCTGAGCAAGAGCATCTTTCTCAGCCTTTGCCAGTCGGCAACCCCGTCTCTGAAGCCAAAATCTGTGCAGCCCCCCTCAGCGTGTACCATAGAACGGTCTCAGTGCCACCCATGCTCAGCCAACCCTGCATCTCGGTGCTGTCTGGCCCTGCGGCTCTGTGAGCTGGGCATGTCCCCAGAGGCGGGCACGGCACACTGGACCCTGAAGGGGAGGGGGATGAGACTTTGCTTTCGATGGTACCAAGGTGCCTGGCCACCCCCAATGGCCTGGCAAAATGCCAGGCTTGAGCAGAGCTGTCAGGAGACAGACGGTCTGGATCGAAACACTCCCAGGGATGGAGAATTTACCCTGTCCCTAGGGAGGCTGTTCCACTGATTAATCACCCTCCCTGTGAGCAACTGGCACCTCCTTTCTAGTCGGAGTTTGTCTGGCTTCAGCTCCCAGCCCTTGGGTCTCACTCTGCCTGGCTCTCAGAAACCTGCTCCTGGGCAAAAGGAGCCGAGGGAGCCCCGCTCCCACAACCCCAGACCCCGCTGGCCTCCCATGGAGAGCTGGGGCCCCAGCCCTGATGTCGCACGGGCCAGGCTCGTGTGGCCCCTCCCCTCCCATGCACAGTCCAGGACAGGCAGCTACAGCTGTCGTGTGCATGGGAAAGTTGCTTCAGGGAAGGGCACGTGGAGATCAAGCTTCTTTTAATGAAACGCGACAGGCTGGAGCCACCAGCACCAGGTGAGCAGCCAGCCCCCCGTGGGCCCCAGTCTGGCACCTGTGGTCTAGGCCAGTGCGCTGCCCCACGCTTGGGAGCTGCCCGTGGCGGGGCTCTATTGCGCTAGGGGCTGGCACGCCTTGCTGCCAGAGGGCACAGACTGGGGCACTAGCGGAAGGCCCCATGGCTTAGACGTGGGCCGCCCCAGACTGTGGCTCTTGGCCCTGCCCTCCCGGGAGGCTGCTTCCAGGGACTCATTCCCAACGAGCTGTAAAGAAAGCGAAGGGGCCGCCTGCCCCCGCTCACAAGATGCTAGTGAGGGACGCAGAGGCAGTCTAGCCAAGTGGCCGAAGTTCAGAGCCAGGGCCTGTTAACGCAGGAGCAGGGCTCCCGTGAGCATGGCGCTCAGGCAGGGCTCCCACGTTAGGCCTGAAGTCACAGGCCCGACTCGCGTGCTTACAGCTCGGCACTGCGGCGCTGGTCTGACGCGGGGCCGACTCTAGCGGAGGAAACGGCACCCGTCCCAGCGCCCTCCCCTCCCCGGCGGGGGCAAAGGGCTCAGCAGCAACTTACGTGACGGCGCACTGGGCGAAGGCGAGGTATTCCAGCAGCACGTCCAGCCCCTTGTTCTCCTCGTTCAGGAACTCCTGCACCCAGCTGGGGGAGAGGAGGTGCGTTAGCCAGGGAGATCAGGCAGGGACGGCCCAGCTGCACCCCCATCCTCACGCCCATTTCTCTTTTCTTCCCTTTACTTCCTTTCTAGAGCATCTCTCCCCCCTCCCCTCCCCCTCGGGCCGGAGCGGCCCAGCCCTGTGGCTACCCCTGCTCAGACTGAACCCAGCTGTAACGGGGAGCCCAGGGCCAGCTCACCCAGCGCTGCTCTGCACGAGCCAGTGGGCAGTGGCAGGGTGGGCTGGAAGCACGCTGGCTCTGCCCCCCTCACACACTAGCCACAGCCCTGGGATTAAGTAATCTGCTCCCTTCCTAGAGCTGTGGGGAAGGGCAGGGCTGCGTCTCCCCCCATCCCAGCTCTCTCCCCACTGGCCTAGGGCCCCCACACTCGGGGCGGACAGCAGAGTTAGGACGCAGCCCTTTGAGGATATGGGTGGTGTCGAGTCAGCCTGGCCCGGTCGGATGCATGGCCAGGCTTCACAGGAGTAGAAAGGTTCACTTTCCATCAGGGCCCTGCTGCATGGCTGCGTCCCCCCGGGGCAGCCAGCAGTCCCTCTTCTTGCTTCCCGCACCGCACGGTTATTCACAGGTTCCCTGCTCCAGGGGGAGCTTTTTACTCTTTTCCTGAGAGCTCAAGTCCCTCCGTCCCGGCCCCGAAAGTCTCAGAGCTCCCCCCCGAGACTGAGCCATTGGTCAGGCATGCCAGCACTGCCACCCCATCTCGCAGGCCAGGGATGGCAGCTCGGAGATGTGCAGAGACTCACCCAAGGCCAGGCAGGGAGTCTGTGGCAAGGCTGGGAATTGCCCCCAGGTTTCCTAAGTCTCAGAGCCCAATGCCTGAACCCCCAGACCCACCTTCCTGCTCTCCCAGAAACCCCTCCGCTTGTCTCCTGTTTGGCTGCTGTCACCCCCACCCCATCCACGCTCCTCTGCCCATGCCACGGGTAGAAGGCAGGCACCTGCTCTCAACAGGACCCGCCCAAACTGCCTCCATCACTCTGAGCCGTGACTGGCTTTGGGCCAGGCCCCAGATGGCACGGGACAGCCCCAGTCCCACGATCAGGGAGGGGCACTGCCCATCTGCTTTTGCTCCATGCTCAGACGACAGTATGGACGTTCCAGATCAGTGCTGGGTCCCACTCGCCAGAGCACTACCTAGTGGGTTTGCCCCACAGCATGGGGGTAGATTTAGCATTAGACATACTCCAGGTCACCCTGGCAGCGCAGACACTGGGCCGGCCAGGCTCAGTGCCCATTCCCACCCAGCCTGGGTCTGATCCCGAGAGCCCGTCACACACTGCACTCCAGGTACCTTCAGAGAGGCTTCTGCACAAAGCATGGGGCCACAGAAGAGCCAGTGTGGACACAAGAACAAAGGGATATAAACTGCCCATCAACAAGGTTAGGTTTGAAATTCGGCAACGCTTTCTAACCATCAGAGGAGTGAAGGTCCCATCTCCACCCAGATTTGCACCTGTTCTGGATCTTCCATGAGCCAGATGGGGCTGGTAGACAGCCAGGGGCCCACGAAAGCCTCACCACCAAAGTCATGAGATTTTCACAGTGGGATGGTAGCACTGAGGCAAACTCAGTGGGGTCGTCCCTAGTTCCCCACAGTGCTCACCCCCCCAGACACAGCACGACCATTATGGCATCTGAAAGCCAAGCAGAGGAGAGCAGCAGATGGCGCATGGCAGGAATGCATCACTGACGGGTCTTGAACCAGGGACCTTTGTACTCAAAAACACAGCAGCTCTGCTGCTGGAGTCAAAGCAGACCTCCGGCTAGCATTGATAGCAGCCCCTCCTCCTTGCAGGCCTGCAGTGATTAGCAGGCAAGAGTGTAACCCCCCTTGTCGGCACAGCCGCCAAGTACAACGCAGACCTGCAGCCCCCAAAGCACAAGCCCTATCACTTGCAGGGTGGGAGTGGCCACTAGAGGGAGACAGTCACCTGCACTAACCCTGGACATTAGCACGTGATCCATAGATACTCACCGGATATAGTTGGTCCTCAGCGAGATCTCCAGCTCTCGGAGCACCTGTGTGGACTCCTGCACTCGCCTCTTAAACTGCATTTCAAAAAGCAAAGGGGAGTTAGACAGATCTGCACCATCACTGGCCAGGTTGCGGCCTCATTTCTCTTTTACCACCTGTGTTAACTCCAGATAACCTCTAGAGCAGTGATTCCCAGTGTTACTGGTCCACGTATCTCCCCTCATGCCAGCATCTCCTTTCTGTGCACACTTATTTTAGACCTTAACAGACATATAGAGTCAAAGTGCAATAAGTTTCAAATTTGGCTGGTGGAGATCTGCCTGGGGAAACTAGAAGAGAAGGCCTTTTGGCTGGGGGCGCCTGGGGGGGGAGGGCTACAGGACGGGAGGTTTAGAGGGGGTTGGACATTTTTTGACTAAATGGTTTTTCATCAGAAAATGCCGATCTGTTAAATCCAAAACTTTTCGCAGGAACGTCCCAGTTTCCATGAAACTTTTGTAAGGAAGGGTCCTCAGGCCCAGGATGGAATTTCGAGTCAAAATGAGAGAGACGCAGCCCCAGTCCAGAACCGCCTGACTCAGAACAGGCCCTGGGACCTGGGGCTGTCACATCCCGTGGAGTGCCCTGACCTCAGGCTACTGGCTATTCTGGGATGGATTGGGGGGGGGGTCTCTCTGAGGTTTTTCCACACCAAAAACTTCAAAAAGTCGCAGTTTCATCTCGATGCAGAACAGGAAAGTTCTTGAAATCAGGAAAAGTTTTGTGAACTGGGAATCCCGTTTCCCGGCTGTAATGAGGTTAGACTGCGGGGAGGGGCGCTGGTGGGGTGTGAGGGAGTGGGTGTGTAAAAGGGCAGGGAGGGTTCAGAAGGGAGGGATAGGGAGCTGGAAATGAGGGGGCCTCAGCTGGCATCAGGCAACTCCAGCTCCAATTCGCCCTCATTCCAGGGCTCCCTTCCCATTTCCTCTGAGCCAGGCAGCTCTGCCAGCCCCTGTCCTCTCTGGACCGTCTTTCCCACGGGTCTCCCTCTGCCCTGGTCCCTGGACTAAACGCCTTCCTCGCAGCCAAGGGATTCCACAGCCTCTCTCCTCAGGGCTGTGCTGTGACTCGGGCAGGCTCCCCAGCCCACCAGTATCCAGCTGCCAGCCCCGCTCCAGGGAGCCTCCTTTGCTCCCCTACTTGTGCCCTTTGGTTCTGGGGCCCCCACTGAGCCTTGGGGGCTGTGCTGTGACTTAGGCAGGCTCCCCAGCCCCCAGTCTCTCTGCTGAGTCCCAGCCTAGGGAACCTCTCTCCTGGGCTGCTGCTCCCCTGTAATTCTGCTCTCCCTCTCCTCCTGGGAGCCAGCCAGCCAGGAGGTAGGCACCTGATGGACACCTAACCCCAACCTCCAGCTAGTCTGCTGCACCCTGAAATACCGGTGTCCTTGCAGGGCTCATGGCATGGAAAGGGGTTGTCTGGTCCAGGCTCCCCTCCCCCTTACAGAGGACAGACCACCCTGCTACCGGGCCCCACTTCCAACAGCTCCTGTGCCCCTGGGGTGCACGTACCCCAGTTCGGGGACCTCAGCTCTCAACTGCGGTACAAAAGCTAAGGGGAAGCAAAGGAGAGGGGAGAATAAAAGGGGGAGGATAATACCGCCATGGCAATCAGCCAATCGGAGGTCACCTTTCTGCTGACTCCGCCCGTATCCAAGTAGCTCTTCAGTTTCTGGATGTACGCAGAGGGGGGGTTCTTGACCTGGAACCGTTCCTGCGAGGAGGGGGGAAAAGGGAGACATTCGGGCCCAGCTTCCGCAGACGATGGAGGAGAACACAGCCCCGAGCACTGATGCAATGTGTGTACACCCGGGCGAGCACCCACAAGTGAGCGGGATGCTGAGGAGACTGCAGGGGTCTGAGATGGGGGGAGGGATAGCTCAGTGGTTTGAGCATTGGCCTGCTAAACCCAGGGTTGTGAGTTCAATCCTTAAGGGGGCCACTTAGGGATCTGGGGCAAAAATCAGTACTTGGTCCTGCTAGTAAAGGCAGGGGGCTGGACTCGATGACCTTTCAAGGTCCTTTCCAGTTCTAGGAGATTTTAATTTATTATTTTAGATGTGCATGAGAAACAGCTGCATAGGGCAGGGAGAGAGACTCGCTCTTTGGAAGCGACCCGCTGCCCAGGTCGCGTGCCCCCGGGAACTAGCCGGACGGGGAATTGGAGAAAGGACGTTTGCCAGGATCCAGCAGGATTTCGATGCTGAGTGGGAGTGAGTGAACTGGCCTGGCTCAGAACTCACAGCCAGCCCTCTTCTTTAGGGCACGGAGCTACGCTAGGCCACCACGCCAGGCTCAGACAGACACCGGTCCTCACGCAGTGCTGTGGCTGCACACACCGGGCATGGGGGCGGGGGAGTGCCGCAGGGACCCTCCCCAGCTCGGGAGCTACATCGGTGAAGACAGAATACAGAGGCTGCCTGTGATAGCCCTGCAGTCCCCTGCCCCAGACCACACCAGTCCGGTCTCCTGTCTCGCCACCTTCAACTGTCAGTCCTGCCCAGCCAAGGATGAGCAGCGCCCAGAGCTGGATGCTCTGTAAACCCCGCCGGCCACGCCTGTTCTAGTACGCCCCACCTTCCTATTCCCCTCCAACCCAACTCAAAGCTCTTTACACGCACTCGCCCATTAAGCTGCGCAAGCCCTGACCATGAGCTAGGTGAACATTATCTCTATTTTACAAAGTAGAGAAATTAAAGGACTTGCCGAAGGACAAGTTTGTGGCAGAGGTGGGATTAGAACCCATATCTCCTGATGTCCAATCCTGTGCATAACCACAGACCAGCTTCCTCATCCCATGATATAGCACCAGGCTGCCTTCCTCCCCCACATGGCCCAGCGCTGCGCCCTCCTCCTCCCCCCGGCCCCGCGCCGGGCCCGCCCCCCCCCCCCCCCCCCCCCCCGCCCGCCGCCGGGCCCCCCCCCCCTCCCCCCCCCCCACACCCAGGGCACAGCGCTGGGCCTGCCTCCCCCGCACAGTAGAACATTGTGCAAGAGGGATTGTTGCCTGACACCAGCTGGTGAGCAGAGTGCCCATCAATCAACCACTGTCTAGTGTCACTGCAGAGACTGGGCACACAGATGTTAACTCTTTTTAAGAAGCGTTGTCCTAGGGCTGGTCTACACTGAAATCTTACATGGGCCTAGCTCAGTCTCTGGGGGCGTGACAAATCCACCCTGCTGAGAGAGATCGCTATGGCGACCTAACCCTGGAGCAGACAGCGCTAGGCCCACAGAGGAGTTCTTCCACTTACCTAGCTACCGCCCCTCGGGGAGGTAGATTAACTACAGTCAGACCATGTCAACACCACAAAATTACATCGGCATCCAGCCACTGCAGTTATTAAATTGCTTGTGCGTGCACACTTGGCTCCTTGTGTCAGCAGTGCACGACCTCACAAGTAGCGCTTGGACCATCACGGTGGGGCATTGTGGGATGGCTCCTGAAAGCCGGCACCTGTCCGTGTCTGCACTGACACTGTGTCCACCCAAGTACAGCGGCCGTGACTCTCCACCGCTTGGGGAAGTGGCGTTACTAAACCGGCGTAGAGAGGCACTTGCGTCGGCAGGACCCACAGCTAAGCGAAGACACTTCCACGGTTAGGTTGACGCAAGGCAGCTTACGTCAACCTAACCATGTGGCTAAGCAGCAGTTCTGCAGAAAAGGACCTGGGGATTACAGTGGATGAGAAGCTGGATATGAGTCAGCAGTGTGCCCTTGTTGCCAAGAAGGCTAACGGTATATTGCACTGCATTAGTAGGAGCATTGCCAGCAGATCGAGGGAAGTGATCATTCCCCTCTATTCGGCACTGGTGAGGCCACATCTGGAGTATTGCATCCAGTTTTGGGCCCCCCACTACAGAAGGGATGTGGACAAACTGGAGAGAGTCCAGCAGACGGCAATGAAAATGATCAGGGGTCTGGAGCACATGACTTATGAGGAGAGGCTGAGGGAACTGGGATTATTTAGTCTGGAGAAGAGAAGAAAGAGGGGAGATTTGATAGCAGCTTTCAACTACCTGAAAGGGGGTTCCAAAGAGGATGGAGCTCGGCTGTTCAAAGTGGTGGCAGATGACAGAACAAGGAGCAATGGTCTCAAGTTGCAGTGGGGGAGGTTGTAGAACTGATGAATTAAATTGTTTTTAATTGTTCATTTTATTAATGTAACTTCATAAGTAAAGTTTTATGAATGAAACAACATTCATTCATAAAATCGGTTACCCCAATAACTGACTAATTGACAATTAAGATGCTTGTTAAGAGCCATAGCTGTTCAGCCAGTTGCCCTTGTAAGTTTTACTGTCAATCCAATTCCTGCTTAAATCACTAAGACTTGCACTCATAGACTTTAAGGTCAGAAGGGACCATTATGATCATCTAGTCTGACCTCCTGCACAACGCAGGCCACAGAATCTCACCCACCCACTCCTGTTTCAGTATTGTAACTTCTGTTCACTGTTTGCCATTCACTACACTTGTCTACTTCTGCTCACTGTTTGCCATTCATTATACTTGTCTACATTGTAGCTTCTGTTCACTCTTTGTCATTCCTTACACTTGTCCATATTGTAACTCAAACTCCATTTTAAAACGCTCACTCCATTTTGTAAAAGCTTGCTGCAACCTTCATTTTTGCAAAACCCTGCTGTAATCTTATTAGTTTAGTTTAGATGTGTGAATGAGGTATGTATGGATGATGGAATCAACTTCCAGCACCAGCCTGTCCTGATGAAATAGAGTTCAAACACCAAGGGCTGAAGATGCAGACAAGAGCCCTAACAAAGTAAGAAGAGTCCACCCTAAAAAACAACAACAAAGGTACAATAGAAGGAAGATCAAAGCCAGGTCCCAGGCTGAAAGTCATGGGTCTGCAATTGACGGGTGATCAATCACACCGAACCCAGAGGCAGCGTGACACAGCAAGACCTATAGACTCTGGATTCAAACTAAAGCCTACAAAAAGGATGGGTGAGATGGAAGACTTTGGAGGGCAACGTTCTGCTGCCAACATGGGAGGGCAGACCCAGCCCTTCCTTGTGCCCGGCTTTCCTGGCCAGTTACCACCACGAGCTACGAACCCAAGCTGCAAAATCAAGCCACTGACTCAAGCTACGTTCAGGACTGGTAACGATACAGCAGCTTTCAGAGTAGCAGCCGTGTTAGTCTGTATCCGCAAAAAGAACAGGAGTACTTGTGGCACCTTAGAGACTAACACATTTATGAGCATAAGCTTTCGTGGGCTACAGCCCACTTCTTCGGATGCATAGAATGGAACATATATTGAGGAGATATATATACACACATACAGAGAGCATGAACAGGTGGGAGTTGTCTTACCAACTCTGAGAGGCCAATTAAGTAAGAGAAAAAAAACTTTTGAAGTGATAATCAAGATAGCCCAGTACAGACAGTTTGATAAGAAGTGTGAGAATACTTACAAGGGGAGAGAGATTCAATGTTTGTAATGGCTCAGCCATTCCCAGTCTCTATTCAAGCCTAAATTGATTGTATCTAGTTTGCGTAGCAATTCAAGCTCAGCAGTTTCTCCTATACAGCAGCTGCAGAACATCTGATGTGTAAATGTGGATGTGTGTGTGTATAGGTATTAGTTATTGGTCACAAATCAAATTGTGTTATCATAATAAATGTGGCATCTTTGTCTTGCCCCCTGAAACAATCCTGTGTAGTTTTGTCTGCATAACAAGGTCTAGGTTGGATATTAGGAAACGCTATTTCACTAGGAGGGTGGTGAAGCACTGGAATGGGTTACCTAGTGAGGTGGTGGAATCTCCATCCTTAGAGGTTTTTAAGGTCAGGCTTGACAAAGCCCTGGCTGGGATGATTTAGTTGGGGATTGGTCCTGCTTTGAGCAGGGGGTTGGACTAGATACCTCCTGAGCAGGGCTGGCTCCAGGAACCAGCTTGCCAAGCAGGTGCTTGGGGCGGCCACTCCGGAGAGGGGCGGCACGTCCAGCTATTCGGTGCAATTCGGCGGACGGTCCCTCACTCCCGCTCGGAGCGAAGGACCTCCCGCGATCACGGCTTTTTTCTTTTTTTTTTTTTT